GCCGCAACCTATTCGAGAGGAATGAAAATGAGAATGTTCCGGGAATAGAGTATTGAGTGCGAGTAATTTATTTGGGCTTGGGAGAGGAAATAAGAAATTTTATTATTATTTTTTTACTAAATAAAAATTTGAGATGCTATAAATTATATTCTAAAAAAAAAACTTCGTAATATATTTCAGATATGCATGTCAAATACGTGTGTCCATTTTTTTAAATATTTTTTTAATCATATATGTTTTTGGTGCGTCTAACATGTGCCAGACGCATATCGTATCCGATACATGTCAAACACTACATACCTCTTTGAGGAGAAGTGTCGGTGCATATAGCATCTTCTTGCTTGATCTAGTCCCTCCCATTGAATGAGGTGTTGAATTTCGTGGCGATGAATCTTAAAGATGTGGTGTGTGTTGAGAATGTTGTTGGCTAGACCAGTGGGTGGTTCTCCTAGCTAGATTGTTATAGGTACGTTAGCATTGGTGAACTGACGGAACAACAAGATGAGAAAGAGACGTATTTGGTGAGGCAATCTACCACGAAAATGATGGCAATTTTAAAGAGCTAGATCATGGTAATTTCATAATGAAATCCATCGTTAGGCCCTCTCATGTTGCTGTCAAAATTGGCAAGCGTTGTACGAGCCCTACAGGTACTCGGTAGCTTGTCAAGTTGGGCAAGTTCGATCAAATTTTGCATATCTTGTTTCATATGTGTATTGATAAGAACCTAGATTAGAATTGAAGGAAGATCAAAAGGCTCGTTTACAAGAGATCAAACAAGAGCTTGCTTAACGGAATTTTCCTTGGGACAAGCTTTGGCTGGACATTAGAGGAGTATTTTGGAATAAAAAAAATGTATCGTTGGAACCCCTCCACGCCTTCAATGGTCATCCTTCCTTCTCTCTCAGATAATTCCTTCAAACTTGCAAATTATTCTAGAATTTTTTAGTTGAATTAATTCCCACTTTATGATAGTATAAAATCATATTATCAGCTTAGAAAAAAAATGTATTACCCCGCATGCCTGTTAGCAGGAAATTATAATTAGTTAAACTTCACAATATAGCCTAGTCTTTCTCCCAAGTGTAATATTGAGGATTTACAATTATACCATACAATTGTTATATATATATATATATATATATATATATAATTTTTTATATTTACTTATATGACACAGAAATCTTTTTATCACAAAAGAAATACCACTAATATTAACACATTTTTTTGGGGCATTGAAGGCTTGAATGTAAGTCGTAAGATGGGGGACATTTTGCTTAACCGCTAGTGTAACTTCAAAAAACTTGTGCCCCAATGTCCTATCGCAACCTCACATGTGGCATCAATCAACATGCTTACACTTCTATTATCAAGCTTATCTCTTTAGTTGTCCACTGGGAGAATCACTCTAGGAGAAGCCCTTGATGCGAACACCTTTCAAGAAATCACCCTTTGGTTTATTAAAAGGTTCGAAGAGAGTCAATGCCTTTCGCTTCATGGACACATGAAGAAATTTGTAGAGCCATCTTGGTTGTTTTACTATTCAATAGCATTATATTTCGAGGCAAAGTGAGGCAGGGAGGTTCTCGGATTCGTCCCCCGCTATTCAAGTTGGGAAACTTTTCAACTCCATCCTCTTACTCTACCTAAGGCATTCAGGGCATAATCAAATAAACTTGATCCTATTGGGAATCGAGATGCTTGCCCTTGTTCGCCAATTAAAACCCACAAAGAATAGGATAAGATGTGATGCATCAATCTCAATGACTCCAATTGGATCACAATCTAGGATGATGCAATTTGTGGAAGTACACCCCAGCCTCCATGTTCACTATCCCATCAACATGTTTGCCTTCATGATCTCATTTCCAACAACCCTAACAATATTTCTTGTCAACAACATACAGCACTTGATGCCACATCTTTGTAATCAGTTCATATTAAAACTTTTTGATCAACCACAATGGAGGCATGTCATTCGATCAATAGATCGATCCCCCTATAAATTCTCTTGTGTTCTCTCTCACATGCTATTATTTTCTAGAGTCTAGTTGATCATGCTCCTACATTCCCATTGAGTAGTCAACTTGGGTGGCACATTCTATCTTTCTTCTTATGAATTGTTGACGTGTGTAATATTTGTTACCACGTAGGCTTGATGAATTTTCTCCATCACCCGTAGCCATTTGAAACCTTAACCCAAGCTTTTTTTTTCAATCATTAGGCTTGGCTTAGACACTATAATTTTTTTGGGCTAATTTATTCTATTTTATTAGCACAAATTTTATTTGAGTTTTCTGACCTATAAGCTTTGCATGAAAAACTCACATATGTAATCCAATTGTTTTCTAGCACTACAAATTGACTGGCAAATCATTATCACAAGAGCATAATCTTCAATAATAATTATTTCTTTAATTAGATATTTATGTCATAATTTGTATTGAGTTTTCAGTCAACTATTACAATTTTAGTTGATTGATTTCCTTTCTATTAGTTGAGAATCTCATTTTCTTTGATGAGACTTGAAAATTCTTAGGTGTTGTAGTGGAAGATAAGATTAGAGAGAGTCGTTAGGAAAGTTGAGGTATTAGATTCAACTTATGTTAAGAAAGGTAGAGGTAGACCTAAAAGGACTTGGTTAGAAAATATTAGAAATGAACTTTATTTATTAGATTTAAATGAGAATTTGACTTTTAACCGGACACAATGGCGAAAAAGGATTCATGTAGCCGACTCCACATAGTGGGACAAAGACTTGATGTTGTTGTTGTTGTAGACTATTGAAAATTCTATTCAGTTCAACATAGATATAATTCATATATTTTTTATTCTACATTTTTGTTTATATATGTTCTATATAGATTAGTGTCTCATGAACACAAATCTACTTAATCTTAGCATTTGAGCTTTTTGTTGTACATTGAGATTAAATCTCCACCTCGTTTCTGAAAGCAACAGAGTGATGTGAAACAATCCATGCGAAAGTGATTTGCTTAAAGAAGTTTTAATATGAACTGAATTCTGCAAGCAGATCCACCACGCAAGCGTTGTTATAGATTTTATTGACTATTCTAAATGATCTGCACTTCTAGCATGTAATTTCCCGGACAAATCCGCCCCATTACTGAGTTACCAACTTTAATAGATTTAAATTGTCGTTTAGAATCAGCATAAAGTTTATACTTATTATTACTCTATCCAGTTAGGCGTGCAATTTTCTTAAGAAAGTTATGCAGATGTAATGTAATGCGACATGTGCTATGCGAATTCATATGTCTAAAACTCAAGACTCAGCAAGATGAACATGAGGTGGTGCAAGAGACTTGATATGCAAGATGAATGACATATGGGTTCACACATAAATTTTAAATAAAGAAACTATGGAAGACAACAGACTACAAAACACACAGAACAACATACTAACTCACACAAACTCATAGCTAGAAAAAAAGTGGACAAATCACAAAAAGAGTGGTTTTAAAGTGTTCGGTCTAAGAGAACTGGGGTAGGGGGAGAAATGAAGACATTCTTAGCTACCAGGGTTATTCTATGGGAAGTCTCAGTTAAAGTTGTAGGTAGTTTCCTAGGGTCGACAGTGTCATCCAGTAAATTCGTCCAACTAGGAGAGAGATTGTCCTTAACAGGGAAGGACAAGAACATAGTGGACATGTTGGAGGAGTCATGGATATGACAAGAAGATGGGTCCTTACACACTACCATAAGGGGATAGTCCAAAGAGTCACCGGCAGGTATGAGACTCAAGAAATGGGGTAAGGTAATCCTATCAAAAGTGGGCACAACAGTTAGAGTGGTGACATTACGGCATGGGCTACGACACTCTATAACACTAAGGTCGGTGATATAAGTCCAATTAAGAGAGGTATACTCAGTCAAATGCACATTTAAAGGAGCAACTCCTAGGATAGACTCCAATAAGACAAGAGGATGTTTAGGGTTCAACTTAGGCTTAGAATCTTTCAGAGTCAACTTACTATCTTCCAAACTCATATTACTATCCTCAAAAGGATCAGGCTTGGTTATAACCCTAAGATCAATGAATCTGGGGTCACTTAAATCAAGGTTTAATTCAGGTAGTAACTTCAATTTCCTAATTTCCAATTTGAAGTTATCCACATTGCCATCAGAATTATTCAAAATTAAATCAGAATTATTCTTGAGCCTTTTTAGTAGTAGGTACGATTAAATCATAATTATCAGAATTATTCGGAGTCATTTCAGTATGTGTTACAACTAAATTAGGATCTTCCAAATTTAAATTCAAAGTATTCGAAGTCTGATTGGCTCCTTTCGAGATCACATTACTATCATCCAGGCATACTTTGTCCAAAGGCTTATCCTCGAGGAGACTAGAATTGGGGTGGGTTAAGGTGTCGACGTTTACAGGTTCTAGCTTTCCTAGTTCAGGGTTTAAGTCATTCAAGGAGTTTGATTAGATTACTTTTGTTCCATCCTCAAAGAAGTCTTCGTTATCCTTAATATCATTAGTATCCACGAAATGGATGCACTCAGTTTTAGGTTCAGAGGGCATTTTCAAAAAACCGCGAATCTTGGAATCCACCAAGATTGACAGGTATTGCTTTTGCCCTCACCTTGGGCTTTCCATAGAACTCACACAGAGATCTAGGAGAAATGAACTCACTAAGAGATCTTCAAGAAGGAACTCACAAAGAGAACACAAGAGCAAAATTTTTCATTCAATAATCATCATCCCTTTCCAAGAGGAAGGGGAGGGCTTAAATAGCCAAATACATGAGGGAAAATAAAAAGACACAATTGCCCCTAGAGCAAACATAAAACAAGCCCTCAAGTGAGGGTAGAAATGGAAAAGTATAAATAACAAATAAAATACATGAAAATAAATAGACACGATCGTAGCCGTTGATCTTCGATGTCCTCATCACAGAGTATACACTTTTCTAAACTTAGGGTTTGACACAAACATAGATTTGAAAGCTGAGGGGAGCACATGCTTCAACTACGAGAGAAATAGTCACACCATTGTGGTTAATATTGAAGAAACGTATGACTCACTATGTTTAAAGTGTTCAAATGACTCAAGATAATAAGGTCAGACATCAGAGTAATAAATAATGACAAGTTTAATAAAATGCACATACATACCCATGTGAATGCCGAGCAGGAGACTTCATCATCTCCAAACGCTTACCATGAGCTGAATGATTTCCTCCATCCTTCATTGCAGATAATAGCATATAGCTATGAATGCAATATTTTGTTCAGAGGTTTAAGAGTGGTGAAGGAATATCACAGAAAAGCACCTCAATTAACATCAAGCATAATAACTAATCAAGTGAAGAAGGCTGATCAAAGCTTACTTCCTCCGCTCCTGAAAATAGTACCCAAGGACTTCGCCTTGTCCCTGAGAACAAATTTCTGCACCTTCCCAGTTGACGTCTTTGGAAGCTCCTCAAAGATGACCGTACGAGGAGCCATATAATGTGGCAACTTCGCACGGCAGAAGGTAATGATCTCTTCACTGCTAGCATAAGCACCGTCCTTCAACTTTACAAAGGCACATGGCGTCTCCCCCCAATATTCATCAGACCGGCCGACCACTGCTGCTTCAAGCACAGCTGGGTGGTTATAAAGCACTGATTCCACCTCTATTGTGCTTATGTTTTCCCCACCCGAGATGATTATGTCCTTAGCCCTGTCTTTCAGCTTAATATAACCATCAGCCTGCCTAACAGCAAGATCACCAGAACGATACCAACCACCAGCAAAAGCTTTATTTGTTTCATCAATATCTTTATAGTAACCACCCATCACTGTGTTGCCTCTAAACATTACCTCACCTATGCTTTTTCCATCAGCTGGCACACTCTTCATTGTAACTGAGTCTTTAACATCCAATTCCTCAATGCAAAGATGTTGAAGTCCCTGGCGCGATTTGAGCTTTGCACGATCCTCTGAGGGCAAGGCATCCCAATCAGGCTTCCATGTGCAAACTGTTGCTGGGCCATAGGTCTCAGTGAGACCATAAGAATGGATGACATGAAAGCCAAGGTTTTCCATCTGGAACAAAACTTTCGGGGGTGGAGGTGCAGCACCAGTTGTCACCGTCACTTTTCCAGGCAGCGATTTCCGCTCACTGAGTGGAGCATTGATGATCATGTTCAAGACCGTGGGGGCACCACCCATGTGGGTTACTTTATGAAGGTAAATGCCATTGAATATGGCCTTTGCTGAGACATTTCTCAAGCAGATATTGGTGCCACCCTGAGCTGCTACACCCCAAATGAGACACCACCCATTGCAGTGAAACATGGGCACAGTCCATAGATACACAGGCATTGTAGTAATATCATTGAGTAGGACCGATGCGATTGCATTCAAATACGCCCCTCTGTGAGTATAAATGACACCTTTGGGTCTTGATGTCGTGCCAGAAGTATAATTTAGGGATATTGGGTCACACTCGTCAAGGGGCCATTTGATAGTAAACTGGGGGTTAGCAGTCCTCAAGAGAGTTTCATAGTTGTTTTCAGCAGACAGAGACTCATCCGGTTCTGAAAGTATGATAAGATGCGGAAGATTAGCTCGATCCTTGGCGAGAAGTCTAAGAGCACCTTGGCCAAGCTCTAGTAATTGATAATCAACAAAGATGGCCTTGGCTTCGGAATGCCCAAGGAGCACTGATAGCATAGCTGAATCATGCCTTGTGTTGAGTGTGCACAGAATCCCACCAGTCATGGGAACCCCAAAATGTAATTCATACATTGATGGAATGTTAGGAGCAAGAACAGCAACCTGATTCAAAAGTGTAATTGATTACAATAAATACAGTATACAGAGAGAGAGAGAGAGAGAGAGAGAGAGAGAGAGAGAGAGAGAGAGTATAAAACATTGGCAGCAACCTGGCATAAAAACCAAAGTATCATACTTTCATCACTACGAGAATAATGAGGAAACAAGTAGAATAAAGCTGAAAAAATATGTAGAAATGCTAAAACAATTGTCGATGTGACATTTGAAAGTTAAGATTTATCAAGATATTTTCATTTGTGAGCTTTAAAAGAGGAAACCTTAACTATACTTCACCAAAATACTATAGCACTTAAGGGATGATGCATGCTTTTTAAGGATGTAGAGTAAAACAAATGAAGTGCATTTTGATTTCTCAGAGTTATTTAATTTGCTTTAAATAGATGCAGAAAACCAAAACAAAAACTCGATAAAGGACAAGCTGAAGCCTGGAACCAAATTCAAAGCTGAAGGAGGAGGTAGAGCAGGATCGGGAACCAAAAGAGGACTGGGGGTTTGAGTTGAAAATGGAAGGGAAGGCATAATTTGGAGCAGGATTAAGTAAAAAAGGTGGTGTCTGAGGTCCACATGAGGGTTGGAAAGCCGGAGCAGGATATATTATTGGGGAAGTAGAACAAACAACGAACACAAACAAGAAATAGAAAATGCAATAGAAATAAAGAACATCGGTATTTAACGTAGAAAAACCCAGAACTAGGAAACCCATGGAACCACACCACACCAAGAAATTCATTATGAAATTTTGGGAGAAAAATAGCATAGATCTCTCTTCTCTCTTGCTCTCTACTTATCTCTCTTCACCCTTGCACTATTCTCGCACAAACAAACAAAGAAAAAAAACATACATAAACTACAAAGGGATACAACCCTTAATGAAAAACAAGAAAGAAAACTGTCAGCACATTTGCCAACGTCGCGACACTCAACTTTGTAACTTTTCTGCCTGATAGTGCCACAGCATAGAGATAGAGTGCCACAACACTTCCCATTCCTTTTCCCTTTGCCATGTTCTACCAAGAAAACTTTGCAACCATGTCATCTCCTTACTAGCCTCAGTGATAAAAATATACTCAGCTTCTGTGGTTGAGAGTGTAACAATCTTCCAAAGTCATTGCAGTATTTCCCAGAGAGAAGATTTAACTAGTTATGCTTCTCCTACTATCAAGATCTCCGATGAAATCAGAATTTACAAATCCCTGTAGATCAACCCCTACATCTCCAAAGCAAAATGTTTTGTCAATTGATCCTCTCAAGTACTTGAGAATCCACTTAACCATCTCCCAATGAAGTTTGTTTGGGTTACTCATAGATCTATTGATTACTACCACTGCATATGCTATATATGGTCTCGTACAAATCAATACATATATCAAGCTTCCAACTGTTGAAGCATATAACGTCCTCTCCATTTATTTTTGATCTGCTTCAATATTAGGCGATTAATCCTTAGATAACTAAAAATGACTACTCAAGGGAGTGTAAATTAGCTTTGCCTCCCCCATGTTGAATATGTACAACACCTTTTCAACATACTCATCTTGAGACAACTTCAGTATACCTGCACTTCTATCCATTCTGATTCACATACCGAGAATTTTCTTTGATGGACTTAAATCTTTCATGTCAAACTCCATTGATAACTCCTCCTTCAGCTCCCTTATTTTTTCCATATCAGATCCTAGAATCAACATATCATCTACATACAAAAACAATAATATATAACAATTTTTGAAATATTTGGAAAAAACAATAATAATCTGACTGGCACTTCGTGTATCTATTATCTAATATAAACTTGTCAAATCTTTTGTACCACTATCTTGGTTCCTACTTCAACCTATATAGGTTCTTTTTAAACCTACACACCAAATATTCTTTAATTATGCTCAAATATCCCCGAAGTTGCACCATGTATAACTCTTCTTAATTTAAAGTCACCAAAAAAAAATGTTGCCTTTACATCCATCTACAGATATAAATTCTTCATTGCTACTATGCTTAGTACAACTCTAACTCTAGTCATCTTCACCACTAGAAAAAAAAAATTCAATATAGTTCACTCCATTTGCTAAAAACCTTAACTATAAATCAGGCCTTATAGCACTTACTACCATCAGATTCTTTTTTCAACTTGTAAACCCACTTATTCTGCAATACTTTCTGGCCATATATTAACTGTCAACTTCCAATTTTGATTTAACTCAAACGAATTCATCTCATCATCCATGGCTTGCTCCCAATTATTTGAATCATCAACTTAAATGGCTTCATCATAGCACTCTAGTTCACCATCATTTGTCAATAATAAATAGTACAATGAAGGAGAATACCTTTGTATTGATTTTGAGATTCTGCTAGATCTCCTAATTTCAATAGCAGGTGCCTCAGAAACTCTTTGTGTTTCATCAGCTTGAGTACACCTTTTATTTTTGTCTTATTGATCATCATCATCCTATATCTCTAACATATTTGGAAGAATATCAAGGAGTCTCATTTCTATCCTTGTATATTTTATTTTCATTGAATGTAACATCCATACTCCTAATAAATTTTTAATTCTAATAATCGTAGAATTTATAGTCAAATTCATTTGAGCCATATAAAATGAATATACATTTGATTGATCTTGGATCAAGTTACTCTTAGATCTTGCATCAACATAAACACATGATGAATAGCTAAAAACTTTGAGGTGAGAAAACTCAACTCCTTGCCACTCAAGGCTTCCTTAGATAATAGATCATTCAAAGGAAATGATGGTCCATGATTAATCAGATCATACATATCAACGGTGCAAAATGACGCGCCCAGTCACATGGTGTGGCGCGGCGCACATACAATGCTATTTGCATGGCGTGGCGTAGCACATCAAAATGGCATGTGCTATTTGCGTCTTGTGTGGGCAATAGCACATGGAGTTTTAACGGATTTAGTTTCGGGGTAAATTTTGGAAGGCAGATGAGATTGTAGATAAGACACTACCCAAGGATTTCACCCTCATTTTGCAAGGACTTTATGATCTAAGTTCTAGTTTTCCTATAGGCGCAAGCCCCTATAGTTAATTACCCCTCCCAATCACAAGAGAGAACTTTCGATTAAGGCTAGTCGTCAATCAAATACGTCGAATATATGTATTATCTAGCATATAGTAGTAGCATGGGTTTGGATTTAGGAATTAGGTTTGAAGTTGGGAATTTGAAAAGTTTGATATTTAAAATAGAAATTTCACCATCTTGCACTTAAAGTGGATGGTGGGGAATGGATGATGGACTCGATCAAGATCCCATGGTATTGTCGTCCCAGGCCATCGTGGTCTTTGGTCTACTTAGTCAAAGGAGGTAGTCAACCCAACTTGATAGAAGGATCCTTGTCGGCAGCCATGGGTTGCTTCGTCCAAGGGGACCTTATAGACCTGGGGTGAATGTTTGTCTAAGAGGACAAATTTGAATCCACCTTAGTTAATAGAGGGCTTTGTGCCCTATCGATCATATTCTATTGATTCATATCTCAAGAATTTGATGACACTAAGGAATGTATTGGCTCTGGACATAACCGGTATTTCATGGTGCCATTTGGCGACAAAACCACTCGGTTCAGAGGTCCGGGTTCATAACAGTTTATACTGCGGTGCCATTTGGCAGCAAAATCGCCAGTTAGAAGACACGTACCACGTCCCTATTGGCAGGAGATTGTTTGATAATGGATCCTCGTGATATTTTCGACTAGCCATTAGCTCTATGTGAGCTGAAGTAAATTTCAATTTATCAACCTCGGCAAACTGTTGCGAATGATGGATGGATTTTGCTTTTAAGTTATTTGATGGATGAATTTCCATTTTAAATATTTGGATTTTGAAATTTTTTGGGTTTTGATATTTTTGGATTTTTGTGCGTATTTGGGTGGAGCTTGGAAGACATTTGAAAGTGTTTGTGTACCCCTCCGGTTGAGATTTTTGTTCAGCACGGCCATCATCAGGGTATTTGGGATCATTCTTACTAAATGATCGAACTTTGTCGACTCTATCAAATTGTCGACAGAGGATCGGGTTTTGTAGGCATTATGCCTTTGCTTGTGAGTTTTCTTTGTTATAGGCCTTGAATGCATAATATGAATGTATTAAGACAAATATACCGGTCGCCGCAACCGTATATTTGTTTGATAGTTTGAACCTTGTTGACTCCTATTAATCCACATAGAAGGATCGGGTTCAAACTTGAATTCATTTATTGACCCGCGCAGTATTCCTAGACGTCACGTATGTATCTATAAGACGCTCGCTGGGACCCATGAGGGTGTTTGAGAGCATTTTGTAATTATTTACTTAACCTTGTCGACTCATATCTACCTGCTTAGGAGGATCGGGTTCAAATTTATTGTCTGGCGCAACATTCCTAGACGTCACGAGTGTTCATACGGTAGTTCGTCGGGACCCATGTGGGTGTTTGGAGGTATTTTGTAATTATTTACTGAACCTTGTCGGCTCCTATCTACCTGCTTAGGAGGATCGGGTTCAAATTTATTGACCTGCGTAGCATCCCTAAACATCACTTGTATAAATACATCATGCTCGCCGGGGCCCAAGCGGGTGTTTAGGATTGCGCTTACCCCTTTTGTGAACCTATGTTTATACAAATTATATTGTATGTGCAGGGGTATTTTGAAATATTTGATGGGTCTTCTACGATAGCTCGTAGAAGTTTATTTTGTTGTAGTACTTCAATACTTGTATACATAATATATGTTGGATGCATGGCCGTTGTTTATCAAGAAACTTGCAAGCCTCAATGATCTTATCCAACTCGATATTCAGAATCTGGTTGAACTGAGATTCACTCACTCCATAATGATTTGATCTGGCTTTCTTTTCCCAAAACTAGTATGGGAATTAGTGCATGACTTCTTGATTATGCCATCATCATCATTTTCTACTGTTGGTTTAAATAAAGAATCAATCATTTTAACCTTGGATGACTGCGTCATTGTTG